TAGGGGAAGCTGCTGGGAAGCGATCTACGGAGAAGGCAATGTTCCCTTGCTAAGGAGAGGCGGGAGTCGTAAGGGGTGTCGTTGTATAGCCAATTAGTGTGACGCCTATCTAGCACATATATAACCATGGTGTGGGAGTAGAAGGCTACCTTGCCTTGCTAAGTGTGAGGCAGAACTCGTGTTGTATAGCAAATTATGTGAGATTCTAGCATATATATATAGCCATGATGTGGGAGGGTTACGACATTTATTTAAGTGGTATATAATGCTGGCCATACGATTGTCCGAATCGATTTGCTTACCCTAGGTTGCCGACAAGAAGGTTTAGTCGGTCTTGGCCTTCTTAAAGGCTCTTGCCCTCTTCTTATACGACTGCGATGGGTTTTGGACCTCAGCGGCAATTTCGTTTGGTTGGGATTGCTCCTCTCAACTAAGAAAAGTAAAAAGTCCAAGTGTCGCTGGCGAAGTGGGGGCCCATCCTTATTCGCGCTTCAGTTTCTTCCTATTGACAAATATTATAATATCAAATATTGAGTATCCAAGTATCCAGAGCTTCCCGGGCAACGCACGGCATTAGTCAAGGGCAATTTCAATCGGACACAGGTCCTCTTTGCCTTATGGCTTGTACACTAACAAAGAAAAGAAAAAACACAAAGTACGATGAAAGACCGCAGGGAACCTGGAACAAGCGCAAGCGGTGAAGGACATCCCGTGTTGCTTTCGACAAGCCAGCTTGCTGAGCTGCTAGCCCGTTCGCGTGTTCATGACTTGTCGTGTATCCGAGAAAAGCTTGAGGAAATGGCAGACTAAACCTGCAAGTTGCACGCTGTAGAGACCAAGCTGCACGAGCTTCTGGAGCAAGAACTCAACCACGCATACCAACTTTCGTCTAAAGTGTCTAGCCCAAGGGCATCGGCGAACTACAACTACGTTCCATCCCTAGATATACTGCTGGAAGAGTGCTGCAAGAGACTTCAAAAGTAATATAACATTGTACGCTTAATATTGACGTTGCTGCTCAGTAGTGTTGTTGTTAGTACACTTTCGTACGTTGCTCTAGCGCTATAACGATGCTCCGAATTGATAACGTTGCCATGAGATGATAGCGTTGCTACAAATCGATAGCGTTGCAGGTGATTGCTATCGTTGCCTGCTGTCAAGGTAACATTGTAGCAATCGTCGATCAGCATCTTGAACGCAGTGCACCTCAAGCTGTTGAGCTGGCTATCAACAAATGCCCCGTGATGTGCGAAGCAAAACGCACGCATCTCAAGTTCTTCGACGTGTAACCCTTCGGGAGCGAGGTCGAACCTTCCGCATGCGCCCCAGTGCACACGGCATGACGATACGACTCCAGGATCCCGTGGGTAGCTTCAAGTACAGCGTGAACAGATAGAAGATACCGCTACACCGGCCTACTTCAAGGACCACAAGAATACGCACGAGCTCCCACTCCTGTCGAAGTAATCGATTTAACAGCAGGTGACGTTATTGACATGACAGCGCAGAATCTATCTAGACTAGTAGTGTCTCACGTTGAAGTTGAGTTTATTCAATTAAACGTTCTGTATCTTAGCTCCAATACCTTCTTCCTACCCTGCACGAAAGCTCGCGATAGTTGCTTGCCTATCTCTACGACATTCCTTTGTTCCTCTACATCAGCAGTCTTGATCATAGATGTACATGTAATAATCAATAGTAATCTGAGTCGCATCACTTTAACGACATCTTTTGTAACCACATCCGCTGTAAACCCGTCCTCCATGACTGAATGAATAAGCCATAGCAGCAGCCATTTTTCCACAACTGCTTCTGTCGGGCTGCGTAGGCGTCCTAATCCCACTCATCTCAATTGGTGCAGGAAAGGGGTATTCTTATGATTCCTCGTCTCCAAACTCCATTGTGCGTGCCATGCCTGTAGATACGGCAAAACTTTGCCATCCAAACCTCATCTACCTTGCTTCTGTAATGCTCATTACAATGGGGGTCGTAAAGGTGCGGTCGAAGCTCACCATGCCGATCCACCACCACAATGATGATCGTCCAGTGGGCGTTGGAGTGGTTTATAGGCAGCACCACGGACTTCATTGAGAAACGTTTTCGCCTTGGAGGGGTCGGGAACTTCTCTTTCTGAATAACGAGCGACGATAATACATGCACGTCGTCACGGTTCTCCGTTCTGACATCCAGGCAATAGCTGATCACTGCCTCGTTCAGCCACGCCCCATCCGCCAAGTAGCCCACTACATCATCGAAGTAAATCGATTTGTTTGTATCGCCTCTGCTGATCTTCGATTGTAAGCTAAGAGACAGGTATTTCGGCACCACATCATTCGCTAGCTGGATAAGGTGCTGTTTTGCTGTGGGCGCTGTCTTGCCATCAGAACCAGTCTCCGGAGCAAAGAATTCGACAGATCAGCCAGTCACCTTTGACCAATCTTGCAGTAGCCACGTCAGCTCCTTTCCCCAGCTCTCCCAACTCTTCTTTGTTCTATTGAAAGTCATCATTGCGGTGACACTCGTTAGATGAGACAAAAAAATACACTTAGTTAGTGTTGCTCGAGCAACGTTACATCAAATAAGCAACAACAAATGGGCAACGTTAATGTACCTCGAGAACAGATCGAGCTCTGGTGTGACCCAGACTGCCAGTGTTGTGTCGTCGGCGGAGCTTGGAGTACAAATGAGATCCACAACATTGTGATCCTCGTTTTGAGCTTTGTGTTCAGCAGCCTGTTGGCTCCGGTAATAGTCAATACCAGCCTGTAGTGAGATGACTAGGTCTTCTGGAACAACGTAGCTGTAGCAGGACGAAGAGGCTATCTGACGTTTCACCTCCCTTACGCGTCTGTGTCTCCCGCGTAGGGTTTACTCGTTCATAATCCACGGGTACTTTTTAAAGTTCCGACTACGTCTTTCAG